CAGCACGGCGGCTGCACCTGTATGATGTTAATTTTTTAAAGATTCAGCCGCTTATCTCGGAAAGTGTCCCGAGGTAAGGCGGTATATATATATATATATATATATATATATATATATATATATATGTAATCCACGCATTGCTTTCTCCCCTTATTAATGTTATATATATATATATATATATATATATATATATATATATATAACATTCCACCGAAGTTTTGACCCTGGTCAGCTCAAGAAGGTCAACCTCTAAAACACTTTGACCGCACGTAGCTTTCTGTGGATCATTGGCCATCGTTCAAACTCACTTCGAACTTGTTTGCTTTTTGGTACGTAAAACGAGAAGAATATAAGGTTTGTATCTCAGTTTTTCTCTTTGATGCCTTAAGTTTGAAGTGGAGAGCCGGGTGAAGCCGAGTGCGTCGTTGTTCACGCAATGCCGCCACCCAGCTGCCACTCCTGTATATTGAATAACTTCGCCGGAAGACCAGCTTGCGGTAAAGCTGCGGGAAATCTAATATGACATCAATACTGCCAAATTTAAATCAGATGGCATTCAAGGCTTTGCTCTTGTCCGAAAAGCGTTGACGATCTATTTCTGATTTCAATCAAAATAGTGTTGTGTTTCAAACCCATGGGATCACTCAGTGTCCGGACAAAACCGTCATCTCGATTTGAACAGAGCGATGGGACAGCTCCATTGTTCGCCTTATTTCATTGTGGGACACCACCCAGCTGACAAGCTCATAAGTAACACCTTCAAAATTGTGACATTCGTGATAGTTCATGCTTGCTTGTCTCACCGAAGTACAGCCTCAGGGTCTCGGACTGAATTTTTTGATCACGTGGCTCAGTTTCTTTGCAGCAATCGAACACTGGTCGCGAAACACGTGTGCGGAACACTGTTAAACATCCCATTGTCATCGATTGCAGGGCGATGAACCACATTTTCCCATCTGAGGCATCTGACCTGAACACCCTTGCCTGACCCAGGGCGGCACGGAGTGCATGTGTCAGTACTGTGCACGCGATGCCTTGTTTAAGGGTGCTGTCGTCAGGTTTAGCAGGAAATTCCTGCTGCCGACACCATACCTCAACTAAACTCATGCCCGCTGATGCACCGTTTCTTCTATAGTCTGCTTCTCTTACGGATACAGTGTCTGCTGTTCAGGTGCCCTTGGTGGGCACTTTTCTTTCGCGGTGTCTGCGCTACCGACATTATTTCTGGCTCAATACACCGACGCCGGCTCTACGACAGATTTTCGTAAGAAATTTGTCTTAACGGTTCAGCTTACAGGACAAGACTTTTAAAGCAGACCATCACTTCTACGCGAGAAAGCTACCAACGCCAGGCTTTTAAAACATATCACACATTGTGCGTGATTTGCCAGTGCGTAAGTTTATAAGCTAGAATCCTTCTAACCCAGTACCTTTTGCATTATTTTCACGTGGCAAAGATTCTAACGGAATCACTCCTACGCGACATTACTTCCGATGCCAAAAATTGTAATTAATACACTTTCGCGGCACAAACCTTTCAATAGAAAAAACTTCTACGTGGCAACATTTCCACAGGTTAAAACATCGAACAACAAAAAGTATTTCGACGCATTGCTCGTAGCGCAAGAACTAGCTAGTGCATAGATTTCTCCACGATAAAACCTGCACTACAAAAAGTGTACGCGACACAATTTATGATAAAAATATTAAGCACCACATGCCAACTTTGCGAGCTTTGAGATGCATAACTTTTTGGGCTACGGCACTTCTAATTTAAGAACTTTCGAGCGATATTCAGAAACCGTGGTCTGTTTGAGATAGCACGTCGTCTACAGGACAAGAGGCCGGCAACTCGAATCCCGATCATTTCAGCTGTCGACTTCCATGTCGCAAAGGAAACCCGCCAAAGAGATTTTCCAGCCGTAAATAATCAGAGAAGCTTCCACCAAGTCTTGTCAGGTACCATGCAATCTTATTACTTCGATTCCCCTTACAAATGTACTTCTGCCCCTAAATATCACTTCTGGTCAACTACGCATGTTAGGTCAGGTCAAATCACATTACAAGTCGGAATGCCATGAAGTGAAATGCAATCTCACGGTCATGCATTGAAACGGGGTGAGGTGAAAGGAAGCAAACTAAACGTTCAGTTAGGAAAAGTCATCATTCCGAAATTCTCCAGGCAGAAAGTGTTTGGTTTGCAAATCGACTCAGCTGCACAGTTAAATCAAGCCCAATGGTGTCTGAGAAGCTACCGGCGCCTCCACGAATGCATTTGTCCTGCACGTCCCGCTGTTCTGCGATCGCAGATTTGTTCATAGTTAAAAAAAACAAAGTGGAAGTCTTGTTGGGCAGAAATAACTTTTTTAAAAGGTTGGCGTCAGGAGTTCTGCCGCGAAGAAGTAATATTCGAAGAAGCTTTTGTATCAAGGTTGTATCTTTTAATACGCGTCCGGGTGGCCGGCTAGACATCCTTCGTTTGGGTGGGTGGGGGGGGGGGGGGGTCAATTTGACCCTCTGAGATCTCCGGAACTAAGAAAGTTAGAGGCACTAAGTTTACAGGATGTGTTGATCTTTACGTGAAATCACTCAGATCAAAGTTTGATGTTCCTAGGTCATGACCTTCCGGTCAAATAATGTCAAACAACGTCGAATTATAAGCTGGTCTCCAAAGCGCCCCACAACCTAAATAACCGTTTCTAAGCAAGAGGTCACATTCTCAGTTAAGGCCAGTGAACTTGTTTGACCTATTGAAGGTTATGGTGACCAAAAGCATACCGGGCTGCTCTGAGTTTTGCATTTAAATAAGGGACCAAGATTACACTGGGCAGTGTGTTACTAAAAACAAAATGTTAATCTGGGTCATTTCAGGTTAATGACCTATTATGACCTCTAAGAAGTCCATGCAAGATGTATAATGCGGTTCCTGCTATCAACAAATTCGAAATGAGCACCAAAATCTATCCCATGCAGCAAGCTCTAAAGTAGTAAAACAGGCTGGCTTTGACCTTGGTCTGACCTTTTATGCCTGACCTTAGGGAAACGTAATTTGCTCATTCAATATTTGTGTTGCCTAAGAAAGCATCTTAGACATGTATGGCTTCGTTTAACACTCCGTTGCTGCATCAGATTAAACGATTCCCTAGAGATTGACTTCGCTGAAAGCATGGCCTGAATTTGACCTGCCATAGGGCAGTGACCTTACATGGTACATCCAATTTGTTATGCCAAACGATTCACCATTCAATTGTATACAGTTATGCACAATTTGGCGCGGCTGCATCGGGCCGTTCAGAAACCATTTGGGAAAAACCCTCGTAAGGTCAATTTGACCCCCACCCGAGCGCGTGTTAAAAGTGAATGCGTTAGAAGCTCTTGCATTAGTTCTATCGTATATTTGCAGTCAGAAGTAGTGTGGATGCACCGCCGACGCCATGCCCGGCTCAGCGCGTCTGTCGCGGGCACCCACTATGCGACAGTGTGTCCGCTGCTGAGCAGCTGTGGATTACGACGCACCTGCGTGCGACACCACGGGCGCTTCAGCACGGCTTGCCGTTGTTGTTCCCCTGCAGGCCGCTGACGTCTGATTAACGGATCTGTAGTCGGTTGGTCGCCGTTGGCAGCAGCCGTCGAGCCCCACTGGTGTGCCGCTGGCCGGCCCCCGCCGGCCTCGGCAGCCCCCTCGGCGACGGGCCATGTACTGATCAGGAACAGTTGGCAGCCAGGCGGGAGGACCGGCCGGACTAGTGGCGGGAAGGGCGGGTAGGACGGGTGACGGGGAGGGCGGGCGGGCGAGCGACGGGGAGGGGCGGGACTGACCCGCGCTCGGCGAGCTGACGCGGCTGACCGGCGTTGGGCGAGCTGACGCCACTGACCGGCGTTGGGCGAGCTGACGCAACTGGCCGGTGCTGGGCGAGCTGACGCGGCTGACCAGCCCTGGGCGAGGTGATGCGACTGATCGGCGATGGGCGAGCTGACGCAACTGACCGGCGCTGGGCGAGAGCTGACGTGGCTGACCGGCGTTGGGCGAGCTGACACCACTGACCGGCGGTGGGCGAGCTGATGCAACTGACCGGCGCTGGGCGAGCTGACGCGGCTGACCGGCGCTGGGCGAGCTGGCGCAGCTGACCCGCGCTGGGCGAGCTGACGCGACCGACGGGTGCCCAGCTGCCGGACGTGCCAGCGCAGGCACCCGTCCGGCTGACGGAAAATACGCTGCGCCCTGACACACAAACACACGCATGGACGTACGGCATCCAGGGCATTTTGGTGACGGCGTTGAGTAAAACGGCTCGAGGATAAAAACGACACAAGCTAGATGTGAGACTCTTTGGAGTATACCGACCTGTGATCCAAAAAACAGCCAGTCATGCGTTTTGCACTGAGTTATGTGAGAAATAGGAGTATGGTGTCGAAAAGTATTGGCAAATGGGTTCCGAGGAGCACCTCCCCCATTCGGCTGACGATACGACGGCAGTCCTGCTTGAGGTGCTCTCGGTCTCCACAGACACTTTGCCTTCGTCCTGTCTCAGCGATCATGTCACAGCAGCAAAGTGGCAGAATACACAGCGCATATGTCGGAAAGCTCGACAGAAGGGCGGAGGAGAAGAACCTGCTCCACAGAAGGAGCAACTCCGTAAACCTCATCTGCTGGCCGTATATTATGTGACGTTTGGCAAAGATGCTGAAGAGTATGACCTGTATGAAGCTGATGCTGAAGAGTAGTGAAGAGTATACTTTTGAATGAAGAGCATAAGCGAATGCCCACTGTCTTTTCTATTTGCAGTATCATGCACAGTTCAGAGGCGAGCTAGCTTCTCTCGCCATGATTATGCAACGACGCTGGTGACACTTGCTTATCTTTCAGTCCGCATTGTTACAATCCTTAACCAGCAAGAACACTGAACGTTCACCAGTGTGGTGTGCCAAAGCACGCGTTTGTGCCAACAGTTGGGTCTGGTCATGGCACTGCCCTGACTCGAACTCCGGATGTGCTACAGGAACTAGTGGCAGCGACCCCGACCCAGCGGAACTGGGGCGGCATCCTCATCTCCCTGATCGTCATCGGCCTCATCAGCTCCCTGATCGTCACCTGCGTTATTCTCCTGACGCCACCGGACCAGGGCCCCAGGTAGGTTACCCTTCCGCGGCCTCGGCTTACGACGTCGAGTCGGTTATCCATGTCAGCCGCCTGCGTCGTCACTTTACTGACGTCATCGTACAAAAGGCACAGAACATTCAACTGTCCTATCCTTCGTCACCCGATCATGTGTCTGCGTAATCACGCTTATGATACATTCACACATCGGAATGACGTCGTATGGGATTATTGCTACGTTCATGGGGAGCCGCCAGGTATCGGCATGGCAGTCTGAGCTGCGTAGTATGTAGGAAGTAGCATCCCACTAAGCCGTGGTCGCCGTACCCGGCGGTGTAGCAGCACATTGCGCGACATCTGGAGCCGGAGCCGTCTACTTGCATGCACCGACTATGCCATGGCATCCCACGAGTGCCTTCAGGTGTGCTGCCATTGCGTTTCCTTTAGTTCACAGCATACTGTGGTGGTGCGTGTGTCTGTGCGTGCGTACGTGCATGCGTGCGTGCGTGCGTATGTGTGTGATTCGAAAGTTCATGTTATGTGCCCGATGAGTGGAGACACCTCAGTAAATTTCAGTGTTCACTAAATCATACTCAAAACAGATTTTGATTTACCTTGTGAGCAAGTGTGTGTACTGGATGGACTACTTCGCGCCTGGAATATCCTGATTTTGCAGGATCCGAGGTCATCTGATAACTCTGGACGATGTAGTGAAATCCATCTACCATGTGCGGCCGTTCGACGGAGAGTGGATCAACGGTAAGTGCCTACTCGATGGCGCACATTCCTCGAGCCAATGCCGTGTTCCCGTATGAAGGGCCTGAATTCTACTGTGTCGCCAACGGACCGCGTTCGCCGATCCTCAAGTGCTCCTCGTTTGTGAGCTGCTCTAATGGTAGTCCATCTGACTGACTAGCTGTCGGTTCGCAAACAGCGGTTTCGCTCATCAGCCTTCGTGACCCGTTTCTCTAAATTCTGGGCGACAAGCTGGCGTTCCCTGAGGACGGTGATGGTGTGTCAGTCACTGTGACCTCCCCCATTGACCTACAAATGGCCAGTTGGGTTTCCCTGAGGACAGGGGTGGTGTTTCAGTTGTGATGGCCTCCCCTGCTGTGGCATACTGGTTGCGATCCGGCGCTCCGTGTTGACGCCGATGGTGCGCCAGTCCCAGCAGCCTGTTCCACTGACCTGCAGGTGACGAGCTGGCCTTCCGCGATGACGACGGCGGCGTGTCAGTGTTCGATGCCCGCACTCAGACGACGCGCACGCTCGTCACCAACCGCACGCTGGTACGTTGCGCGCACCACGCGTCAGTAAGACGCCGCGCGCGGCAGGGCCTCGCGGCTGCGGCGCGGAGTGAAGGGGAATACGGCGGGGGTAGCGGGTTCAAGACTTCCTGCCCGCTGTTTTTCGGTTCCCCGCAGCAATCCGCGTGAGATGTTGTGACGCGCGTCCCCTAGCACTTGCATGAGGCGTAGGACAATCGATCAAAGTATTAGTGGAACGCTCGCGGCGCATCACGGGTCCGCGGCGCGGGGGCTGGTGTGCATGAAGATTCAAGGCATCCCATTCAGAAATGTGCATTTGCTACACGTTCATTTTTGTGCTCCTTTCTCAGGAAACGTCAAAAGACTTGTGTCTGATTTTATACAAGGCCCGCCTCAATCACCGAGCAGTTTTTTAATAACTGAGGCTGAAATTGCATTGCTTAATGTTCAGTCTCCGCTGGCCACTCCCTTCACGATTATTGGATGTTATTTTTCATCAAATACTCTAGGTCACAGACATATCAGCTCGGCTGAAAACTTTCGAGCGTTGTGATATGGCAGCATCTTTTAAAGCGATATGGGGTCTGGATTATTCCCGAGGTGATCGGACGTCACTACATTGTTGCAACGTTGACTGCATTGGAATGATGCGCGTAATTTCTATACGGAGAGGGGCTCCGCGTACGTGCTTTATGAGCTATAGTCCCTGTCGACTGATTTTGAAAACAGGAGCCTAATGCCCACTGGGGTCGGGGCACTGTTCGGCAGGAATAGCATGTAGGATATGCTGTGTATTGGCACGGCATGGCGCGATACAAATCACGGCGATTCCATTCCATTTGGCAAGCAAGAACGGTGGCCAAATGATTCCATGCTTCAGACCGCCTTGGCAGGAGGGTCTGTGTTCACTTAATAAAGCACAGCGACAAAATTCGTTGCATAGATAAGACACTGTTAACCGTCGGACCGTTTGTTAGTGTGCTTCATTCCACCGCCGTTCCCCGCACAGCTGTTCCAGGTTACGTGACTGGTACTGCATTGCTTATCAAGCACCGCAGCTGGTCGCTGACAGAACCCACTAATTTTAGATTCCCGTAACCAGCTGTGATAACTTTTTGACTTCGGTAGCGAGAGCAACAGGTCTTTAGATACTGGGATTTCACTTGTTTGAAAACCGTTCAATGGATGGAATCAAAAACGGCCTTCAAGCTAATCGCACGCAACAATTTGTGAAAGGTGCAATTATAGCACATTTGTGCAATTACGTCACGCAAACAACAGGATTTGGCCAGTGTAGCTAGCGCGCAACCAGGGTAAGGGCGATCGAAAACGATTAAAAGTGCATGGCGTAACTTACGGAATGCCGCATGCAACAAATTGAATGACTCATTCGAAAGGGGAAAAGGTGGTAGATTGTTGACATTGAGGACCCTCTGAGATAACTTCAAGAAGCATGGCCGTCCTCTGCCTCGGACAACGCTCTCTCTCTCTCTCTCTCTCTCTCTCTCTCTCTCTTTCTCTCTTCTCTCTCTCTCTCTCTCTCTCTCTCTCCTCTCTCTCTCTCTCTCTCTCCTCTCTCTCTCTCTCTCTCTCTCTCTCTCTCTCTCTCTCTCTCTCTCTCTCTCTCTCTCTCTCTCTTCTCTCTCTCTCTCTCTCTCTCTCTCTCTCTCTCTCTCTCTCTCTCTCTCTCTCTCTCTCTCTCTCTCTCTCTCCTCTCTCTCTCTCTCTCTCTCTCTCTCTCTCTCTCTCTCTCTCTCTCTCTCTCTCTCTCTCTCTCTCTCTCTCTCTCTCTCTCTCTCTCTCTCTCTCTCTCTCTCTCTCTCTCTCTCTCTCTCTCTCTCTCTCTCTCTCTCTCTCTCTCTCTCTCTTTCTCTCTCTCTAATATCCTCCTCCGCTCATTTTGGAACCCTGCGCGGCCAGTATTTTTTATCAAGCGATTTCCTGCGTTTTTTCCTTGCTTTCTAATTAAATCGTTTGTCCGTAGTCTTGGTAACCGACCGATTGGCCCAATTGTTTTGCGGAATGAGCTGGCCGAGAGTAATCGGATCCCCTCCCACCTACATTGGTCGGATATCAGCCATCGCCGGAGCAATCAGATTACCAGCAGCTGGACGCTCTCCTGGATCAGATGCTGAGGCTACAGACCGTGATGAACGCGTTGGCAACAGCTGGGACGCTGGCTCCCCCGGAAGTCGTTATGTAGTGGTAACATTTTGGCTAGTGAGACAAGCTGTGTCAATTTCCAGATAATTCCAGAGATGTAGCAGATAATGCATTTCCTTACACGAATTTCCATTTGCATTCGAACCGTCTACATTGGGTACAGAATGGCCCACTGCATTTGCTGTGATGAGCGATATGACTAGGTGCCAGGTTACAATTACGGTAACAGGTCATTTTTCAGCATTGAAAACCTTGCCGATCTGGGCACTTCCAAAGCCCGCACACTTTGAGCAAGAGCCTTTCTATCCTTATGATATCCTTGATTACGACTTCGTCACTAGCCACAGCCATGCCATTGCGGTTGTCATTCTTCATGCCCCCCCCCCCCCCCCCTGAAAGGTGTGCTTCAGCTTTGTGTAGCCGTGTGTATCGGCTATGTTTAGCTGTGCATCGGCTAGGTATAGCCGCGTGTATCAGCTTTGTGTAGCCGTGTGCATCAATTATGTGTAGTCGTTTGCATCAGCTATGTGTCGCCGTCTGCATCAGCTATGTGTAGCTGTTTCCATCAGCTGGTCAGCCTGTCCTTGACACGCTGGCTGACAAAGCCGAGCCGGCCGGGTGCTGTCGTGCCCCGCTAGAGAATTCACGGTCAGCCTCCCCCCCTCCCCCCCCCCTGCTGCTCGGCGCAACAGGCGGTCCCAATCGATGACAACAGCGGAGACTCCCAACGCGTTGCTGCGACTGAGACGTGGTCTCGTCAGAGCTCGCGCTCGCGCTCTGTCTGGACACTCAGATCACGCACTGTGAATGTCGGACATCCTCGCATGACACGGGCCTCGCTTCGCTGTTGTTGTTTTTTTAGGAAACATTTATTTGATCAAATCAGACCGCACTCGCACTACGTTGCACTGAATGGTCTTGATACCACTAGGTCCTTTACAACGCCCAATTTCAGAGGGACCAGAACGGTTTCAGGGGCCCGACGCCCGCGAAAATGGGGAGAGTATTTCAGGGAGAGTTATTTTAAGGTCACCTTGCTATTTATTGACATCATAATAACGTCCTTCAAAGCCTGCCATTTTTAGCCATGTAACGATTGACAACGATCATTAACACCGAACGGTATCCAGCCAGCCGGGTGGCCGGCTGGATATCCTTCGCTCGGGTGGGGGTTAATTTAACCCCCTGAGATCTTGGGACCTAGGAGAGCTGGAGACAACAAAGCCACTGGGTGTGTTGACCTGTACGTGAACTCACTTAGGTCAAATTTTGATGTTCATAGATCAGGATCTTTGGGTCATATGAGGTCAAACAAGGTCAAATTCCAGGCTGGTGTCCAAAGTGCCCCTAGACCCTAGATGAATGTTTCTAAGCAAAAAGAAACATGCTCATTCAAGGTTAGCGGCTTTGTTTGTCCTTTGGTGACCAAAGTCATCCAATACTGCTCTGAATTTGCATTTGAATAAGCAACAAAGATGACGCTGGGCAGTATGTTCCCAAAAACAAAATGTTGACCTGGGTTGCTTTAGATCAATGACCTATCCTGACCTCTAAGAAGTTCATGGAAGATGAAGAATGCGGTTCTTTCTATCAATAAATTCTAAATGAGTGCCAGAATCAACTCCATACAGCAAGTCCTAGTGTGATGAAACAGATTGGCTTTGATCTTGGTCGGACCTTCATTCGTCACTGAATTTAAAAAAATAATAATGCGTCAAATCATAGATCAATGTTGTTTGGTCACTGAATTGTTGCGTTGCTGAAGAAAGCATATCAAGGATGTATGGCTTCGTCTAACACTCCGTTGTTGCATCACATTGAGTGATTCCTTAGAAATTGCCTTCGCTTAAACTATGGCCTGACTTTGACCTGTCATAGGTTAGCGATCTTATAAGGTAAACCCGAATTTTGAAACCAAACGATGCAATGTTTAATTACCTAGAGCTATGCAAAATTTGGCGCGGCTATGCCGCGCCGTTCGGAAACCATTCCTGAAAAACCTTCGGGGGTCAAGTTGATCCACCACCCGAGCGCGTGTTAAGGTCGAGAAAAAAAATGGTCAAATCGTTCACACCTGACGTTCGTAAGCACAATTTTGCAGATATAACGAGCGTCAATTGGCTCTTAATCAATGTTATGCAAGGTACGATAACGTAATCAAACAATAACGTTTCGAGGAGCATGTTTACTAAGCAGAGAAACTGCCGTGTCTAGAGCAGTCTTTTCTGTTTAAAGGTGTACCAAAAGTTATAAGCGAGCTTGTTCATCGTATCTGATGCTTACTTAAAAATCTTCAAGCTCGAAAAATTTCTTTTAAGACGCTCGCTATTTGCCCTTGACCACGATGGCCTGCAACCGGTTGCAGCGACCGCGCTGCAGGTCAGGTGACGTCAGAGAGAGGTCATGTCGAATACTGCGGCACGTTAAGCCTTTGCCGTAAACTGCTGCTGTTGACCAGGGAGTTTCACGATCCAATGGGGGGGAGGGGGGGGGGGGGGGGGTTGAAGAATCATGCACAGGTCCTGCGCGTCGTCTCTGGGTATTATTTCCGTAGCCTGTCACTATTGTGTTCGGCGCAGCTACACAACGCTACAAGTGTGTCGCCGTCGATATTTCGACGTTTGTTCCAAAGCCATGCTCCCGACGACATAGAAACTAATCCTACGAAAGACTGCAGTTTCATCCGATGCATAATTCTGCAAAGATTTTGTCTCATTTATTCGTCTTTCATTTCATGCGCGCACCCATATCAAGTTCCATATATGTACACACACGTGTGAAGAGTCTTGACATAACCCCGAGAAGAAGTGCAGCTTCAGCGACCTGGTCAGGCAATCACTTTGCCACCACCCTTACGAATCATACCATAGCCCACTTTTAGAGTTCGTACTTTCGGTACTACTGAATAATTAAGAGCAAAGATGAACGTTTTGAATGGACCCTAATTTACTCGTCTTGTAACGTGTCCACGTCGCGCTATCGGCGGCGATTCCACGGACTTTGGGAAAGAGCGCGAGAATGTTGAAGTTCGGGGCACGGCTCTATAGAGTGGAAGCCGAAGGCCGTCGGTGCAGCACTGTCGCTCAGCACTCTACTAGACTGTCGGTGGAGCGCTGTCGCTCAGCACTCTGCCAGCTCAGCCTAATATGACGACCGCCGTCAGCAAAAGTTGCCGTCCGGCGCCGAGGGCTGTTAACAGCCGCCTTAATGGCGTTTGGTGGGCGGCGGTGAGCAGCCAGCGACCGCCGTTCCCCGGGAGACGGCCCGTCACCAGCGGGCCGAGCGTGCTCTGGTGCGGCAGTGGTGATCCGTCACCAGCCGGTCGGGCGGGCTCCGGTGCGGCGGCGGTGAGCAGTCGGCGACCGCCGTTCCCCGGGAGACGGCCCGTCACCAGCCGGCTGGGCATGTTCTGGTACGGCAGCGGTGACGACCCGTCACCAGCCGGTTGGGCGTGCTCCGGTGCGGCGGCAGTGACCCGTCACTAGCCGGCTGGGCGTGCTCTGGTGCGGCGGTGATGATCCGTCACCAGCCGGCTGGGCGGGCTCTGGTGCGGCGGCGGCGATCCGTTGCCAGCCGGCTGGGCGTGCTCCGGCGCGGCGGCGGTGATCCGTCACCAGCCGGCTGGGCGTGCTCCGGTGCGGCGGTGATGATCCGTCACCAGCCGGCTGGGCGTGCTCCGGTGCGGCGGCGGTGATCCGTTGCCAGCCGGCTGGGCGTGCCCCGGCACGGCGGCGGTGACCCGTCACTAGCCGGCTGGACGTGTTCTGGTGCAGCGGCGGTGACCCTGCTACGGCGGCAGGCGCCCACCACTCGGATAATATCCGACAATGAGCCTGTGGGACGGCAGTGAAGCGCATGCCGAGCTCGCTGAAGTCCTTTCTCTCAGCGGGGTGGGAAGAGCGGATGCGGTGTGCGATGTATTGTGACCAGATGTTGGATAGGGGTTCTGGAGTGCAGGGCGAGCTCCCTTCAGGGGTGATCCCCTGTCCTGACGGGGTCGTCTGTTGGTCCCTGCCCGTGTCGCCTCGCTGCGGTCTCACCCGCGAGCTCCCGTCAGAGGTGATCCCCTGTCCTGGCGGCGTCGTCTGTTGGTCCCTGCCGTGCCGTCTCGCTGCGGTCTCACTCGCGGGCCCCCGTCAGAGGTGATACCCTGTCCTGACGGGGTCGTCTGTTGGTCCCTGCCGTGCCGTCTCGCTGCGGTCTCACTCGCGGGCCCCCGTCAGAGGTGATACCCTGTCCTGACGGGGTCGTCTGTTGGTCCCTGCCGGTGCCGTCTCGCTGCGGTTTCACTCGCGACATCCCGTCAGGGGTGATCCCCTGTCCTGACGGGGTCGTCTGTTGGTCCCTGCCGGTGCCGTCTCGCTGCCGTCTCACTCGCGAGCTCCCGTCAGGGGTGGTCCCCTGTCCTGACGGGGTCGTCTGTTGGTCCCTGCCGGTGCCGTCTCGCTGCCGTCTCACTCGCGAGCTCCCGTCAGGGGTGGTCCCCTGTCCTGACGGGGTCGTCTGTTGGTCCCTGCCGGTGCCGTCTCGCTGCCGTCTCACTCGCGAGCTCACGCCCCGGCCGTTGTCCTGTTTCAGAGGCAAACCAGCGCCGAGCAGTTCCAGGTTTCACCCGATCTGAAATACGTTCTTCTGGCGAGCAAACGCAGTGACGTAAGCCGAAATGTGATGCAAAAACACAAAAGCGTGCCGCTACGTGCATGAATGAACGTGCATGAATATACGTGAGGGTGTGCATGGCTGTACCAAACTGTCGAACTCGAATCCAACGGTACACCACCGTGCAACACATTCCGGACGCAAAGTTATGTGGCAAAAAGCGGTTGCGTGCCAGTGATTTCTTACAAGCTCCGGCATGTCTCATAGCATGCGTGAACTATCTGATAAACAGTCGTCTCTGTCTCCGTTTAACTTGTGCCAAAAACAAAATCACGTTCAGCTGGACAGACATGAGGCGCGAATCGGGCCATGGAATTTGCAAATGTCTCAATCGCAAGTGTGGCAGGAATCTGAAGAAAACTTAACTTTTACCAAGCGTAGTCTGTTTGAACATCAGTGCAAGTGTGCGGTAAAAGGTTCTCAGCCCGCTGGGACCCAGCACTAGGCCAGTTGGTCAAAGCTTTCGGTCCGCCGGGCATTCATAGCATTAGTCGGCTTGACTTCCACAGATCTCCTCAAAAGGAGGTACCCGGGAACCGTGAACCGCTCAGTCCACTCAGTTCAACGACCTCGCGGAACAGATGGGCAAGCACGCAGACTGCGAACAAAATGCAGTATTTTATGCACATGTAACTCAGATCATGTGGGAAAATGGCGCTTGCTTCTTGACGTTACTGAACGACACAGAATAAATAGCCCAACTCACTCATGCCCAATGTAACAGAAGCACCTGAAACTGCTTAGACCGGCATTATTTCATGTACTTTTTAGTATAGCTATAGAAACGATAAAACTCTTAGCTTCTCTGTGGAAAACAGTGCTCGTCTTGGTCATCTTACTGGAGTTCCAGTGGCATCATCTGCGGTTTGCAATCCAGAGTCGTTGCCCGCTGATCGATGCGTTACGCATATTGCGTGCTACTGTGTAATAAAAGCGCAACGTTGCGTTTCGTCCGAAAAATTTTCGAATTGATCGCTACGTCAACAAATAAATAAGCCTTTGCAACATTTTGTAACGGCACACTCCAACGACCATCATGTCATGCCATTAGCATGCACAATCCGCTTTAAATTGAATAAGCGATGATTTTGCTACCATCTGCCTCGCCTCTGTTGCTATGGATGGACAAATTTTCTCTGCCAGCCGTGAAAATGACTGGACCTGGGGACTTTGCAGCACACGGACCATCGCTATGAGTCCCGGTACTGGATCTGGCCCGTGGACACGGGGTAAGTTCAGGCAGTGTCGTGGGAGCAAGTCGTTATTTCAAAGATCGCCAATCGCATGATGAAGCAGATCGTTTGGGCTCAGATTACAGGAGTAGCGACACATTCTGGGTCACTCTCAGTCACTCAGTGATTGAACGCATCTTGGGATAGATACAAGCTTGTTTTGTCATTGTGCTTGGACTGGTAGGCCCTTCGGTAATGTAATAGTTTTCACCAGGCTAACGGTACTGAATGCAATCAGGTTCTTTACCTGAACATATTTGAGGGTCCTTCTCCATCCCATCCAGCGGACTTGCATCGGATCGATATGTTTTTTTCCCTGGGTTTAATTATGTCATAAGTAACATCCAAGACCATGACCTGTCCATATCATGTCAAGGTGCACAAACCAGCACCAGTAGCCCGTATATCGGGTAGACATCCCAACGTTATATTTAGAAATCACCATGCCTATCGTTTTAGTTTGCTTCTCATGTTATGGATTACGTGAATTTTATAAGCAAGTGCACCTCAAGTTATACATTAGTTGCATATCCGTTGGTCTGCACGCTTTCTCCCCCCCCCCCCTCGCTCTCTCCGTCTCGCGCTCGCTCTTTCTCTCGCTCTTCCTGCCGCCGGCATATCTCTGGGTTTCGAGTTGGAAGAATGGGAAGCTAAGCGGCTGGCGTCGAATATTGATTTCCCTCGAGTAATTGCTGCCCGCAGCAAGGAACCAGGCGGCGGCTTTGTCAGAAGCTGCTGAGATTCGACGCTTTGTTGTTTTTTTGCTGAACTGGCCATTTATCTGCCGCCCCAATTTCATTATGAATCTTTGGACTGACTTGGCTGAATAGAAGTGCTGATCTAAAAAAATTAAATGCCGTTGTCTGCTCAGCAAATTAAACAGAATAAGAGAGAAAATAGCTTTGACAGCCGGTGAGTGTTTTGGAGTTTTTGAATGTCTCCAAAAAATGTGTTTGCTGCCTTCAAGAGCACGCAGCCCATCTGAGTGATGCTGGGTGAGTATAGAAGGCTGCCTCTTTGCATCGCTAATAAGTGGCACCTTCCTCAACTCACCGCACTCAGAGTAAGAGAGGAATTGTGTCGTATACTTTGACTCATACTGATAAAAGCATTTTGGCTGCGTGTGCTGTCACTTCAAGCCCTCTACACCGTGCCGTCTGTCTGTCAGGTACACGGCGGCGCTGCGCGTGGAGCCAGGCCGGCCGGGCCGCAGCCACCCGCGGCTCCAGCTGGCCGCCTGGCTGCCTTCCGGTGCCGGCGCGCCCTCCGCCGCCCTGCTACTGGTGCACCGCAACAATCTGTACTACAAGGCGCGCGCTGACAGCGCCGACTCGTACCCTGTCACACGCGACGGCCGGCCCGGCCTCGTGTACCACGGCGTCACCGACCCGCTGTACCGCGGTACGTACGTGATACCACGCCGTTTTCTGACTCGCTGCACTGTGTACCAAATCGCATGATGCACCACGACGGGGTTCAACGCCCTCGTCGTAATACGCATGGGGGCCAGTGTTGTGAAGACATTCAGTATCGTCCGTGTACCGCTAGCCCGGCCGGCTGGTCGCCGAAGTGATCACCAACGATCGCGTACGCTGTTCGATTGTATGCTGATGTGGCGATGCATAGTCGACCAACTTTTTGGCCACCGAGTGTCAAGCACGACGCATGCACGCGTCGTCTCCTTCCCTCTTGTGAACGGGTATCGTACTCCTGAACAGGTCACGTGTTTCCTTCAACTCGGCGCCAGGAGTCGCTGGACAGGTCATCTGCAGCCCCCTTATTCTCGAATGATCTCCACGCCACGCAGGCGCTGTGTCCAGGCACCGTTCTGTGATCGTGACCCCGGCCGGCCGCGCCGCCGTGTTCTGACCGTCTTTCGACGCCCTGACCGGCGCCGCGCCGCCTGCGCTCCGCTGTGCCGCAGAACATGTGCTTGGTTCGTCGCGGGCTGTCTGGCCGTCCCCGGCCGGCACCGGTCTGCTGTACTTCACCCTCAACGCAACGGCCGTGCCCGACCTGCAGTACACGCTGTACGGTACCGGACGCAGCCCAGCGTACCCGACCGTACGCTCCGTCAAGTACTCCAGGGTACGGCCCAGCCCACAGGCCCTGTGCTGCCTGGACCTTGTGCCGCACGCATTAGGCAGTGTTGGGCTTGCTGGGAAGTGTTGTGCTGTGTCATCGCGCAGCGGTATCATGGGTCCACTCAGCGTTGGGTCCGAGTACAGAGGCCTGTTGTCTTTAGTCGAGGGCCCTCCAGTGGATGATGCCGCCGTGATGATAAGACGGGTGGCCCAGCCTCCGATCAACATTGTGCTGGCTGAGGGGGGCTGGCCTCGTGAGGGGCGCTGTCCGGACCCTTTGGTGGCGGGTGCCCGGTCAGCATTTGGACTAGATTTGGTGTGATATCGAGACGGCTGTCAGTCACACCCCACACCAGTCAAATACCGATCACAGCTCACACCAACCACACCTCACACCGATCACACCTCACACCAATCCTACCTCACACTAAGCACACCTCACACCAATCACACTTCACACGGACCACACGTCACATTGATCACACCTCACACAGATCACACCTCATACTGATCGCATAGCACACCGATCAAACCTCACACCGACCACACCTCACACCGATCTTACATCGTATCGATCACACCTTATACCAATCACACCTCACGCCAATCACATCTCACACCAATCAAACCACGTGCCAGTCACACCTCACGCCACCCGCACCAACCGCACTTCACACCCAGCACACCACGCGCCAGTCACACCTCAGACCAGACTGCGATGTGCCCACCTGAATGACTTGACCCATGCATGTGGCTCCTCATGACCCATTACAACATGAAGGTTCAGTTTCGTGTTTGTGTCAGATGCTGCTATCATCTTCATGCGGATGCGAATCCAGTCCCGTTCAGATCCGGGATCGGTTCTAGGTTCGGTACCGTCCGGATCCGGGATCGATTGTGGATTCTGCTCCGTCTAGATCCGGGATTGATCCTGGGGTTCCGTCCTGACCAGATCCAAAATTTCAGTAGGACGCATGACCACTAAAGACACGGACTGAAATGAAATAACAAATGATGCAAGTAGATTAGAGATAGACTAGTTCACGTTCAACACGACATAGACGATAGAGGAATGAAAAGGTAATAAACTCGGACTTGGACACAGATGCAGCCTTAATTAAACGTGAATGGGCCTCAGATTAAAAGTTTCCGGAAACCTTGGACTTGTACGCAGGCCTTGACTTTAATGAGTAAGGACTCAATTTAGGCCAAAACCTACACAGGTCTAACAGTGAGTACACTGGTATGAGTTTACGAGACACAATCCACTCCCTGAATCCACAGGTTGGAGCACATACTTTATATGGCACAAACCCCAGCGTGCCGCGTGCCCCAGGGTGCTGGAAACGGGACATTTGACCCTCCAGTAGAGAAGCGCACCCTCGGGGCCAGTCGAAGCGCGTTCTCGCTTTCTTAATGTGAGACGGGCATTATTAAGCTCATGGAAGTCTGATACTGAGAGACAGAAATAAACCTCTGGTCAGGAAAAGCTGCTGCGTCGAGGCTCTTTCCGTTTCGCCCCAATTTTTGGGCGTACCAGCGCCAGTGCGTCATCGGGCAGCGTAAGGTTTTCTGCACTCTAGCCTTCATGGGTCAAAAACATATTTTTTTCAATACGTGGAATCCGTGTCCATTTGTTACCTTTTCTCGTTCAATGCCGTCCAAGATAAGCGATTGCTGCCTTTTGTAGCTGGCTGACATAAGGGGCCAAGTGGTCTTTTGCCTGTGCTTCACGTTAAGGCCAACTTTAAGACCTATTAAATCGGCATGGACTGACTGCATTTCTCGCCCGTTCTATGAATCAGCCCGATTAAGTTGAATTTGTCCTTGAATGTCTCGTTTCAAGTTGTATACGAAGCCATCAATTTGCTCTTGCATCACGTGCCAGTGGTGATCTCTCTCGCTAAGCTCTGAAGCTTGTAACGCGAGGCACCATGCATACCAATGGGGAGGGGTCTTAAAGGTCTGGTACCAGCCGACTAGCAAGGAAAAACCGCAGGAAGCAATGATGGTGGTGACTGCTTGTTTTGGGAAAAACTGATATGATGACTAGAATGATTTTAGGGGCCCAGCAGAATATTTAGAAGGGATAACAATACCAATATGCTGTATGTTTGCTGTAATCGCTTCCTGTCGAAGGCCTATTGAATATTCTCTATTAAATTTGGGTGTACGTGGACTAGAGCATCAGGGATATGGGGAGGGAGAAGGGCGAGGCAAAACAGCACCTGAACTTTGAAGGGGACCCTACGACGCATTCCAAACCTCTGAGCAACGACTTCCTGCTCAATGTAAGTTTGAAGTCTACTGATTTTGCCTCGGAGCATAATTCACAACCCTTACATGAGTATTTCAACAAAATAAATATGCTAGAAAGATTGCCATAGCCTGGCTTGGCATTCTTATGTTACATTTAAGGTCGAGATGCATGCTCCGAAGATTAAATAAGATGTCGAAACTAATGGGCTTGACGCAAACGAGGGGTACTAGGGATCGATCCCGCACTCACATGAATTGAAATGGACAAACAAGGACTAGGACTCAGCCTCAGGGCCCTAGGACTTGAGACTTAGACTTGGTGTTCTAAACTGTGGACAGCATGGACTCTACTCGCGAAGCTCGGGCTCGGATCTGTGCCTAGACTTAGGCCTCATGTCCGCCACGTCCCTGCGAGACCTGAGGTTGCGTTCCCTACGTGCGGTGGTGTCATTAGCGACAGCATGCTCACGTACCGTTACTGCTGCCGCACGCGTGCGCGGTGCGTGCAGGCTGGCGGTGTGAACCCGGAGCTGACGGTGACGGTGGTGAACATCACCGAGCCCCGTCGGATGGAGTACCGCACCGTGCAGCCGCCGGCCGTGCTCGCTCAGCAGTGAGTACACCCCGTGCTGCCCCCCCCCCCCCCCCTCGCTGCCCCGGCCGAGCGTGGCGGCTCGGTTGTGCGTCACCGGGGAACGACTGTTGTCGGCTGTTGCTGGTGCTGGCACAGCGTTGGGCGCCACCGATCTGGCGAATGGTGACCCGAACCTGTGTATGGTGTTCGTTGCATTCTGGCTCTTGGCTAGCGGGGAATCTAGCAGCTCTGTTTGAATTTCGCACTTTAACTAAAGCTATGACATTAGTGCAATTAAAGCTTGATGACCCCACTTTTCGCTGCGCTGCTCAAACGACCTCAACTTTAGCCCCCGCCTGGTAATAGCACAGCCCGGTTAGCAACGAGCTGAGGCTGGCACTGCGCGGGCGGCAGGGAGCTGTACGCGGCCGGCGTCAGCTGGCTCGGCGAGCATCAGCTGACGATCACGTGGTACAACCGACGTCAGAACGCCAGCCACGTCACTGTCTGCTCTGCGCCCGACTGGTCCTGCCGAACGGTAACGCCCCACCTCCGCGACCGACCCCGGCTATCGCATAGCTGGGGACCCGAGCGCGGAAACGGTACCTGCCTGCCCCGCGCCAGTCTGTCACAGAGCAGCTGGAGTGACGGTGGTACATGTCTGCTGACAGCCGTCAGGGCCTCAGATCGGTGTCCTTCCGTGTACCTCAGATCGGCGCGGGTGCGCTGTTTCAGTAAACTTGTGACATCCGTCGGCCGGCACCAGACCGGTACCTGCCGGCCGGCACCAGACCGGTACCTGCCGGCCGGCATCAGACCGGTACCTGCCTGCCGGCACTAGACCGGTACCTGCCGGCCGGCACCAGACCGGTACCTGCCGGCCGGCACCAAACCGGTACCTGTCGGCCGGCACCAGACCGGTACCTGCCGGCCGGCATCAGACCGGTACCTGCCGGCCGGCACCAGACCGGTACCTGTCGACCGGCACCAGACCGGTACCTGCCTGCCGGCACCAGACCGGAGCCTGCCGGCCGGCACCAGACCGGTACCTGCCGGCCGGCATCAGACCGGTACCTGCCGGCCGGCACCAGACCGGTACCTGTCGGTCGGCACCAGACCGGTACCTGCCGGCCGGCATCAGACCGGTACCTGCCGGCCGGCATCAGACCGGCGCCTGCCGGCCGGCACCAGACCGGTACCTGCCGGCCGGCACCAGACCGGTACCTGCCGGCCGGCACCAGACCGGTACCTGCCGGCCGGCACCAGACCGGTACCTGCCGGCCGGCATCAGACCGGTACCTGCCGGCCGGCATCAGACCGGTACCTGTCGGCCGGCACCAGACCGGTACCTGCCGGCCGGCACCAGACCGGTACCTGTCAGCTCCCATCAGAGCCGCGCTGCACCTGCATGCTGACTTCAAGGCGTCGCCACGTCCGCTGATGGGTGGCCGCCGCTACAGGTGTACCAGTCGCAGACGGCGGTGGGCTGGCTGCCGGTGCGGCCGGCGCCGCTGCCCTGCCACGAGGGCCGCTCGCTGGCGCTGCTGGACCGGGTCCCGAACGGCCACGGACGTCGCAACCACCAGGTGGTCTGGGTACGGCTGCTGTCGGAGCCGGCCTGACTGCAGGGCCGGCCGAACCTCCGGACCGTGGCCCGGGCAGCGCCGCCGGCGCAGCGGCACCTGATCAGTGTCTCGGCCGGCGCGGCGGGGTCGGGCGACGTGTGTGGCGTACGGCGCATGCCGTGCTGTCGGGCTCGGCTGCTGGCTGTGCAATAATGACGATTCAGATGTTCGTGATAGGGAAATATTAACCTTTGCTTAATTTCGTTCGCCCTGTGAATGCATAAACTTTTGGTGAGGTAGTTAGACCGGTCTTGGGTGGCTGCACATGTCTCCATTAATTACATGATTAAACCCGTTGGTACGGTCTGTTGTATAATTCGTGCCTCTTTTGAGTATTTAACTTCTTCATCATTGTAAATATTGTCATTATAGGAACAATCTGAAATGAGGATAGCCATCACCACTGTCAAATCAAAGCCGGGACTGTTGTGCCAGCCAATGTTTGTGATTATTGTCACCCACGCCGCTCTGTCGCGGCGTCTGTAGGTGGACACCAATAACAGAAGCGTGGTGCAGCTAACGCGAGAGAAGACGGGAGTTATCAAAATACTGGCATGTAGTCATGACTTCATGTAAGTCCCCCCCCCCCCCCCGCATCATTACCGTATGCTTCCGCTCATGGAACGGGTTAGTGGGCTGAGAATGCAGCATCTGATTGGCGTTTTTATATTCTTCGGCAAAGATTTTTAGTTCAACCTTTAAACATTCCATGGCGGTTTAAGCTCAGCTATCCATTGACCCCGTCGCCAATGATCGCTGCTGTTGTTGATCGCCGCTGGATCGTTGACGATCCAATCCATCTCACAAACGACCGTCGCGTACCTCCCATGACTTCAGCTGACAGCCGAGTCCGGCGAGCTCCAATTTCGATGCCAAAATAAGCTCCTCAGTGGCCATGCCGTGCCCGCCTTGTCGCTTCTGCAGCGCTGGCATGTTCCAGATACTACACCGCGCCGGTGGCGGACCAGCCCGGCCAGCGGCATCTGCACCGGGTGGCGGTGCCTGGCTCTGCCGCTCCGGCTGGCGCCCACTGCATGACCTGCAGCCAGGTGCTGGGTCGGCAGCACCCCCACGCCCAGCTCTGCCTGTACCACGACGCCATCTTCAACGTCGACGGCCGCCACTACGCACTCCACTGCCTGGGCCCTATGGTGCCCCACGTAACTGTCAGTGCGGCCGACGCTCCACAGATGACGCTTCTGCGCAACAACAGCCGGCTGCGCGCCGCCGCTGCCAACACGTCGCTACCGCGCGTGGAGGCACTGCGCGTGCCGCTGACGGCGGGCCGCGCGGCGTCCGTGCGTCTGCAGGTGCCGCCGCAGCACCGGCCTAACGATGTGGTCGCCTACCCGCTACTCGTGCGGTTGGAGGCGCGTGCGGCGCGCGGCCGTCGGTGGGCCGTCGACTGGGGTGCCTACCTGGCCTCGCGCCGACAGATGGTAGTGGCGGACGTGGCGCTGCCGGCCGCCGCCGCCGCCGCCGCCGCGCCCTGGTCGGCCGACGCCGAGGTGGCCGACCTGCGGAGGGTCATCTCCAACCTGACGGCGACGCTGGACTACCTGACCCCGCGCCAGGTGGTGCTGGTGGGTCGTGGCTTCGGCGCGCACCTGGCGCTGAGGCTGCTCGCTGGCCCGGAGAAGCCGGCCAACTGCGCCGTCGCCATCGCGCCCGTCACGTCCTGGGAGAGCTACGGTGGGTCTGCGGTGCTGTGTGGCCGAGCGTGTTCCGGTCTGTTGATGACCAGTGTCGCATCCCGATTGCTTTTAGTCAACCGTCACGAACTCACCGGCCCGCGACGCGTGGAATTTTGGTGTGAATGCGTCATTCCATATGATTAAAACCAGCGGTTCTTGATAATACACGCGACCTCGGGCATGGTCAGGGAAAGAATGTCTAGCATAACATTTCCCGGATGGATGTTCATTGTATGGCGGACTAATTATCGATTCCTCTTCAGCGTCAGCGTTTAGCGAAAGGCATCTGGGGCTGCCAGTTGACAACGAGCGCGGCTACTCACGTGCGGATATGAGCCAGTGGGCACCAGGCCTCTCTGGGAAGCGTCTGCTATTGGTTCACGGCACGGCTGACGTCACCGTCAGCGTTCAGCAAACTTTCCTGCTGGCTCGATGGCTGGAGAAAGCGGGCATGTTATTCCGACAAGTGGTCAGTAAGATGCACATCTGTGCATTTTTTATAGCTCTTATATACGCTATCACTCTCTTGTTGGTGCTTTCTGAACAGTTTTCTCTCCTTATTTTATTGATTAAAAGGAAAATCGACAATAGATCGCCGCTATCGATGTAGCACACGGTGGCCTTACAAAGCGTTACCAACTCTCAATTGGCGAAGACTCGACGCGCCAGCGGTCAGCTGAATGTGACTGCGTTCGTTCGAGAGCTGTCGCAGGTTGCCTTGCCGACACGTGCTACTGCTATTTGTCTATATGTGCGCCGGGCGCCGCCGACGTCTGCCACTCTTCCTCAGCTGTACCCGGACCAGCCCCACGACCTGGGCGGCGTGCTCGGCCACCTGTACAAGACGCTTGACCGGTACATGACCGAGTGTCTGCTGCCAGACGGTCCGCGGCAGCTGGCGGCGGCCGTGCAGTGAGAGGCGGCGCCGCCGGAGCCGCGCCGCCGTCCCGCCTGGTGTGCTCTGTACGGGTTTCTGCCCTGGAAACGGGCAACGCGCCGCTCCCCGCCGCTGAGTGGGCTCAGCTTCTCCCTCCATCGCGGGACATTGGCCGGGCACCAGCCGTTCGCTCTCGGTCCCCTCCAGCACGGAATCGCTGGTAGCGCTGCCGCCGGGGCCGGCTGCGGGGAGCCTGGTCTGTAGCGGCTCTCGTGGCTCTGGCGCTGGCGCTGGCGCTGGTGCAGGTGCTGGCGCTGACGTCCGTCCGTCTCGGGGTGCTCCGGGATCGGCCCGCGACGTGTCATCGCCGTCCAACGTCGCCGTCCAGCGCGGGCGACGGCGCCGGCTAGCCTACGTGGCCGAACTCCAGACAGCGCGGATGCAGCGCCCTCCCGCGTCGGCCGGTGCCCCGCTCCGGCCGGCGGTGAACCGGTCACGAGCCGGGCCTCAATGGGCTGCGGACCACTCCGGCTAGCGCAGGGCATGCACATGCACGCCACAGATCATAGAGCCCAGGTGGCTAGCGTCGTGAAGCGTTAATGTGGCGTTGTCCTGGTCGGCCGTCTAGGCAGGCAGACGGCCGTAGAGACTGCCGGTGAACAGCAGACACGATGTGACCCGATCTTTAGCGGGGTCGGCGCGTGTCGCATTCGACGCTTGACGGACCCGACTGCCGCTGTGTATGTCAAGCTGGCACCGCAGTATTATGAGCCGTGTATGTTGGTGTCCTAGGCGTGTACTGTTGTGCCCGTGCCTGCGCGTCCGATGTACAAGGATGCTCGCCGAGTCAATGTTAACGTGTACGCTTCATAAATTAAAGATATCGTCCGTAGAACTGCAATGGACTCCAGTTATATAGTTGGGCTGTCATGAAATACATGTTATTTGTCTTTTTTAAACCTCCAGACCAGGTCAGATATCGTGGCAAGCAGCATAGATCGGCATAGACCAATTACCCTGGCTGTTCTTCGATCGCAGTCATGTTTGGAACTTCCTGCATACCATGCGATTGAAATCTTGTGGGTTTGTATAAAGTCACAGCCTTCCGTAAATTATCTGACTTTATGTGGGACCTTTGTGTGCTGAGTACCAAGAACTGACTTGAAATCCTGCCAAGCTCCATCTATTATCTCCCCCTGATTTGAAATCCTGCCGAGCTCTGTCACTTATCCCCCATGATTTTGGGAGGACTGATTTTAGACAAGTACCGTCAGAAGAAAATACTGAGTGAACGCAGCACTTTATGCGTGCGATTTACGCAGCGATCTATGCGTGTCATTCACGCGACGATCTGTGAGTGCGAGCTACGCAGCGATCTCTCAGACCGTGGCAGATGTCCAGCGCATGAGCTGTAAAGGCCCCAGGCATGGTCAGGGGGCTTTTGTGTTAAGATTGGCTCAAAACTTCTCTAGAACCAGCGTGGAGAGCCGAGGGCCTGTAAGTCAGCGGACGGACGTTGCCCTCAGTCTCAGATGAGGCTCTGGACCACCCATTCTCAGCAGGCTGGACGCATCAGGTCTGCTATCACACAACTTGCTTTCAGGCAAGGCGAGCTCATGATGCTCCTAGGAAACCTGAACCCTGAACCTGCGCAATGGCGATCATCGTTGCAATGACAGGCCGATTGTCGTTTGGAAGATAAGCTAAATGCAACTAGCTTAAAACACTCCTTTGCAAGTTATCCTCTTTGTTTACCCAGGAATTGTCGGATATCCCAGCTAGCTTATTGTGTAGACAAGTGGTCATACTGGAGATGGCAACGCATGAGGTATGACGAAAGAAAATTTATGAGCCACCGAGGCTGTTAAATCGGTTTTGTTGCCTGGAAATTAAGGTGGTCTATTTTTAGGCATAGAAATAGGGCATGCTGCAATTTTATTGTTTCGTATAGCATGTTAACAGCATAGCCCAGGCTCCTTTCAGTACATTTGCACAAAACCACAGTGATTTACAAGCCAAGCCACGCCAACTATTAAAATTTTGCATAATTCGCCTCACTCGACCCTGCAGATAATGGCCTAGTGTCATAATTTCGTCACATAACGTAGTTCCCTGTAGCACTGGAGCTTTACTCCCCTTGGAGCTTCGTTACTCCACCTCTTGCGGTTCTTGAGATGGTAGGGGGGGGGGGGGGAGGTGGCAGATCGGCGCCTCCCTTCACTGTGTGTAATTTTCATAGACCCTCCACTGTCCGTGTTAAAACGCCCTCAGGTGGGGATAAAATTAACTCCTCCCTCCCAAGGCCTTCCGGAAGGCGCAGCCGCGCCCAATTTTGCATCGCCATAAACAACTGAATAGCGTATCATTCGATGTGATGCACCTTATACGGTCGCTGGCCTACGGCAAGTCAAAGTCGGGTCACGGCTTTAACGAGGTCAAGTTCTATGGAATCGCTTAATCTGATACAACAACGGAGTGTTAAACGAAGTCCCACAACTCTGAGACACTTGCTTAGGCAACACAACAATTGGATTAACCAGTCCCTCTGACCTAGGGTCATATAATAGGGTCGGACCAAGGGCAAAAGCAGCCTATTTTGTTACTCCTGGGCTTGCTGTACAGGGTGGTTTCTGGTGCCCATTTCGAATTTAGTGAAAACAAAACCGCAAAAATCTGCAAAACAAAATCTGCCTAGCGTAATGTCTGTCGTTTATTCAAATGCAAAACTCAAAGCAATCTCGTATGATTTTGGTCATCATGACCTTCAAAAAGTCAAACAGGGCTTATGACCTCAAATGAGCGTGTAACCTATTGCTTAGAACATGCCTTTGGTTCTGGGGGCACTTTGAAGACCAACCTGGAGTTTGACTTTGTTTAACCTTATCTGACCCGAATCTCATAGCCTAGGAACCTCAAAATTTGACCTAAGCTGAGTTCTTGTACAGACCAATAAACTCTGCGAATTTGGTTTCTCTAGCTCTCCCAGCTCCTGGGATCTCATGGGGGATCAAATTGACCTCCCCACCCAGGCGAAGAGTATCCAACCGGCCACCCGGGCGCAGTACATCATCATATTCGCGATCAACTTTTACGTCATCGTCTCATTGGTCCTGCGCGCCTTCCGCTTACTGCTTCCCAATGGTATGTGTGAATGTTTCGATGGCTCCGACTGCCCCTCAGCACTACGGCTAGCGGCCCGCCGCGCAATGGAGTCTTGGCTCCAGTGACGTTAGTCTAAAATAAAGTGAGAATCACCGGACGGTCTACCGACGTATATTTGTACCCAAGACGCCTCGGGGTTCTTGACTAGAGACTTCTACAGGCATTCGGTGGCATGCCGCTGCTTTGCAGATATCCCTAGTTTTGTTGAGCCCTCGGCGTGGTGCCAATGGCATGGAACGAACGTACTGTGGTGTCAATGTCTTGGAAGGTACTGTGGTGCCAATGTCTTTGTCTTGATGGCAAACTCAAGGTTGTGGTGGGTGAAGCCATTGTGTGGTGCATGCATGCGAACCAAATCACAGCTAAACAGGTGAATTGCCTTTGTAAATGGTAGTGTAGTGACTTGCGCACGTATCTAACACACCACGATTCATTTAGAAGTATCCTTCGCTTGACATTCACATTATAAGTTTCCCGTAAAGATACCTTAAGCACCTTATCATGTGTCTGCTGGGGGAAACATGACATGCGCATAAACACGCGGAAACACCGCAGAAAGCCAACATAACGAGTACCAGCTGAATCTATCATGTTGAGTCTGGATAAGTAGTGTGTCAACTGTCAACGGTGATGATATCGCCTCGTGCTACAACCGCGTGCTCGCAATGTACTCAGTCCGCGGGTATTTGGTGGCGTGCTGCTGCTTTGCGGGTTTTCCTGATTTTGTTGAGGCTTCATTCCAAAACTAATACGGGTTGACGCGCAAAATGTAATTCTAAATTTAAAATTAAGATTTACTCTACCAGAACCCTGGTTCTCTGGAGGCTTCTGCACACACATTTTGTTGCTGGAGAGCATGTTGCCCTATGATCCCAAACCCTGACATCTGACCTGCCCAGCCGATGTGACAGCCCGAGATGCCTCCATGCTGGCTTTACCGTCTGACGGTTTAATTCTCATTAACCAATGTTGCACGAGAGGAGGACCAGCACTCAGCAGGCAGTAATGTCCAATCTGAGCAGTGTGAAAGCATGAAAAGTGTCGACATATCAACACGTTAAAAATATCGCACCGCACCCCCGACTGTAACTGGTCAAATGTCGACGCACTGTCCAGGCCAAGTGACGTAGCGCGTTATCAAGTTAAACGGTGTTGTCATCTCTCTCGCCGTCACACATACACATGATTCGATTCCAGAAGCAAGCGCATGTGTGGCGATGCCTCGTAATTGCGTGAATGTGGTGAATTGTGCAATTCTTGTTCGGATGTCGGAGAAAGCATCCGCTCTCAATGCATTAAAACCGATCTAACTACCTGGTCGGTCAGAAATTTCAAATGCTACTCGGCCCATGTGCGGGCGTCCAGGGCTAAGCGATGTTCAAGCATCCATGTAGTACCACCACACCTTGCTGATGGTATCACTGAAAACATGCGAAGAAAATGGTACAACGTTGGCTTTCGGTCTGGTCGTGTGCGACTCTTTGCGCCACCATCATTTCCAGTCCGCGTACGTCAGAAAGAAAGACTTTCACGGAGCAAAACTGAATTCTGCCACGTCGGTGTGGGATTCAGCTGATGTTTGCACTTCAGACGAGCGAGGCCGGCGTCAGTTCTGGCCAGCGGTCCAGCATCGGCACCGGGCAATCCTAAGAATACGGACCTCCCGCGCTGTCTCAGTCGCTCCTTTACGCTTGATATTCGCTGCTCGTACTTGGCCTTTCTCACTCTCGGTCCCCTCCACGTACTCACCTCTCCCCGCAACAGTCTCACTGAGGCTACCATTGACTATCATGCTGATGCTTTCATTTTCATATTGTCGTTTCCCATGAACGATCTTTGGATCCTTGGGCTTCCACTCCCTTCGTGAAGGATCTGAGCCCAGTGACAGGATCTTTACGTGCATTGTTAGGTATGCGCAAGCTGCTGCGTGCCCTTCTGGCGTAATTCGTATAACTCGTCTGCCAATAGTTTCTTTCTGGCATTATGCCCTTGTCCACGACGTTGCTGACGTAGGAAAAGAACAATAATCGCAATGTTCCAGGTCTTCGGAATTACTTGCTGCTGTGTTTTTGTGAATCAGTATGTTGTGCTGGTTTTAGACAAGTTGCATGGCAATGTTGCGGCCCCACTTACGCAACGTCAACATGACAATGCTGCGGTTCCATTTCCTGGAACGTCAACATGATAGTGTTGTGGTCCGGCAACCTCGCACCGCCGCTCGGTCAACCTTCGTGGCCGGGCCCACGCAAGCGCTGGTCGGTCGGCCAAAAGGGCCAAGACTGCGGAGCATGGTTCAAGTACAGCAGATGGCCATCGAGCGGCTGCACCACACGTATGGCTGAGGCAGTGGCACTGCAGATCGTGCCCTTGGACCACAGGACGATGTGCAGTGACACAGCCACACGGTGGTCTCTCCCTCAGTGGCGAACGCCTACTACGGTTTTGTTTCCTGATGTTTTTGTCATAATCGTTGCGGAATGTATGGAGGCCAGGTTGGCATCACTGAAAAAAGATATGTGAGAGAAACAGAACGTGAATGTGGGCAGTGGAAGACGAAATGGAGAGGCGCTAAATTCATCGTACGTGGTGCGGGATGCTAGAGACTATTTCATTGCGGCACATAAGGCCAAATCTTGGATGACTTCGAGCACGCGCGCGCACCAGCAAGGTTTGACGAGTCGTTTATCACTTCCCAGCGCTTCTGCAGAACGAAATCATATTTTTCGAATATCATATTGACGAGGAGTGTGCCGTTCTTCTCCTTCCGACCTGTCCCAGCGCTAGATGTCGATCTCTAAACAACACGTTTAATGCGATATTGATATGACACGAGCTATGTGGCTACCCCTCACCGCCTTGGGGCTAATTGAGAGGGGACTTCAGAATACGGATCCACTGAGCAAATGGTAGGGCGCCTAGCGGAAAGCATTGGTGGTGGTGGAGAAGCTGAACGTAAGCCTACGTACTTCTTGCATTTCGAATGTTTGCCATGCGGGGATTGGCTGCAAGAAAACAAGAGAACTTCTTGCCTTCCTACCCCTACATCGAAAAGTGCATTCATGTTTAGCATTACTTTAGTACATTACACTCCATCTCATCATTTTTCCAAAACGAATCATTTCAGACAATTTGTTTTTCGGAGAAGTAAAACTTTAGACTTAGGTGCTCTTTTCATGAACATAACACATATTTGCATTGCGTAGCAATTTACCACCTGAATTGGTAGCTTTTTGGCAGCTCGTGAATCCCGGTGAGCTAGAACTCCCAGGTCTATTTTGAGATATCTTTTTACGAAAAGTCTCTAGCGACTGCGATCCAAAAAATATGTGGTCTACCAAGTTCTAACGTTTTTCTGTGGCCCTGGTACGGAAATGAAGCTCTTGAGGCATTTGTATCTTTTCTGCTGCTCCTTTTGTGTTAATTTCCCATGGGAATTTCCAATTTCAATTTACATTTACCCATATTGATTAAGTACGGTTTTACGCCTTAAGGGCCAATTTAAAGTATAACCGTTGGTTCATGTGAGTGTTGTGATAGAGTTGTAGTGGTTATAATGTTGATGTGTTCGATGGTGATATGCCTGGCTCGACAGGATATTGTGGGATGTAACATCCCCATCCCTGACGTCGTATTGTGTGTCTCATGCCACCCAAGCAGTTGCACTCATTTGGCAATGCCGTGATGATGTGATCGTCAATATAAAAGCTTTGATTCTCATCAGGAATTGACTCCAAATTGCCATTGTATATCTATCTAACAGTTTTTCAAGACTTGTGGGGATGTGTGCCACAGGAACAATTTTAGGACAAAGAGGCCTATTCCTGCAAATGAAAAGGAAATCAAATATTTGGGCATAGTGCATTTTGATGACACAGGAACCCTCACTATGGGCAAATTATTTTTCTGGCATGTTTAATTGCACAAGCATTATCAGCTTAGTTTTCTTAAATCTTATCTCCTCTCAGAACTTGTTGCAGCTAATTATGTATCTTGAAAGTATGATTTTTTGAGTAAATTGTCTGATTTCATTTGCATTATTCCAAGTTATTCTCCATTATGCATACTTTATGAATATCACTATCATAGTGCATGCTTGCTATCTAGTGTACCTATGTTATTATGTTTTCCTGCATGCCATGATTTTTGTTGAGACATGCAATGTGTTTCCAGATTTGTTCAAGCAGTCAATATTTGTGTATGGAGAAAGTATGGGGAAGTTTTTATATTTTGCATTTGGAAGCAACCTTCTAAAAAAGAGGATCCATCTGAATAATCCATCTGCAATCAAGCATTTCCGTTGGAAAAGTTGAGGTAAGGATAGGTAGGAAATTCATTGGACAGGCAGCTTTTTATATTTGCTAAGAGTAATTGTACCATGTGTGGGTATTTAGAGCATTGTTGGCTCACAAGAATACCTTAGCCTTTGCATGGATGTATACAGTAATGATCATTCAATGGTTAATTGTAGAAGGATATTGCAAGCTGTGGAATAGTTCTTAGCTAAGCAAGTCTGAATGTATTCAGCAGTATGTCCAATTTTGAATCATATCATACAAAAACAATACTAACCTGTCACCCATTATCATTCAAATGGGTCTGTGGCATCAAATATGACTTGGGATAGCAGCACTGATTTCTCATTTACAAAACAATGCTATCTCTTCACTTGTCATTTTCAGGTTAACTGTGCAGCTTATGACCAAATAGTATAACCATACTTGTGTATATTTAGGTGGTTAAGACTTATATTACCATGTGCCTACAGGGCTTTCGGCTGGATTTTAGCCACTTTAGCAAACGCTGGCAAGGGGCTGTGGCAACTATTGTAGAAGATGCTGAACAACATGTGTGGGGAGTGATATGGGAGCTTGATGAGCAGCATAGAGAAACACTTGACAAGTAAGTGGTTAAGCTGATTGATATAGATGTCAGCATTGTTGCCATCTATTTGACATTTACTTGACTTATTCACACCACATTCTTTGAGTCATGGTGCATAGAGTGCCATGGTTTTCTGTAATTCTTTGACATCTTTGTGCAATTATGTAACACTATTTTTAAACATTGCATGCCAGTGAAGGATTTCAAAATGCAATGTTGGACCAGACATAAGTTCACTGCCTTCAGCTCTATGTCAAATTTGCATCTAGCCACATTCATGAAATCCTGGCACATTTCACACCTTTCTGATCTGCTGTTCCATGCACTGACTGAATGCCAGCCATCCTTTCCCACCAGCGCTGTCTGCTCCTGGCCGGCCTACCATCTGACTTCCCCCCCCCCCCTGGCCGCAGTCAGGAGGGCGTGCATCAAGGCATCTACCGGCCGCTCTCGGTGATGGCCGAGACGCCCGACGGTCGGCGCCTCGCCTGCCGTAGCTACCAGCTGGCAGCTCCGCCCGGGGGCGACGGGCGCCCGTCGGCCGTCTACAAGCGGGTCATCCTACTCGGAGCCACTGAGAACGCGCTGCCTGACGCCTACCTGCGCTTCCTGGCCGCCCTGCCGGACAACGGCTACAGCGGCGACGTGGACGTGGGCCTGGACCTCGGTCAGACGTGACGTGGATCGACGTAGACGTGGGTCTGGACCTCGGCCAGACGTGACGTGGATCGACGTAGACGTGGGTCTGGACCTAGGTCAGACGTGACGCGGGGTGACGTGGGCGTTGGCCTGGGCCTCGACAACACCGGACTTTGCAGGGGTGCGGTGGGGTGGACACGCCCAGCGGTGGCGCGGCGCTGGGGACGCTTGTGGTGGGACGCGGCTTGAGCTCCCCTCAGCCCCCGCTCGGCAGCGTCGCAGTTACAACTGCTCAGGGAGGTCTGAAGTCAAGGTCAGGGAACCTGGGCCATGCGGGAGGAAGGCGAAAATCTGACTGTGCCCCTTTCTGGCCACGATGCTTATAACTTGCACAGTGTCTACGCTGCTGCGCTTGTGCAGTTGTTCCAGCACCCTAAGGAATTGGGATATTTGGGATTGAATATGAGATGATGTGAATAGTTGATTGCAACATTTACTTAATGTAGTCGCTCTGGCTATGTAATCATGGACCCAGCCATATAGGGCAACTTCTACCGATCCATTGTCCACCATTCACGACCCACTGATCCACTTTTACCACTGAGAGGAGTATCAGGTGACTGTTTACCGAGTTGTGTGGGAGTTCTACAGTCATGACGACGACCACAGCATCGCGCGAAGTCGGGCAACTGTTTTTTGTTACCATGTGTGTGTAGCCCTTTGTTTGCCGGTGTGGTGACTATGGCGCTCTCTTGGAGTACACCTGTTCTCCCGGTTATCGGCCCTGGACTGGTATCTACCTGCAGTGGGAGACTGGCAGTGATGTGATGGTGATGGTGACGTGCCACGCGTGCTCTCCATGCCAGTCTTTTAAGCACACCAGTGCCCTCATGAAGCTTTTAACCTTTGATGCGCCGGTAAAGCTGTGTGATATATGTTCGCGTTTGGATAGATCTGGGTCCATTTGCTTATTGTTAGTTTTCGTTGTTGCTCAAGCTTGCTTTGATCGATTGGAGGGCGTTGCGTCAAATGCATTGACCGTCGCAAACGGGAAACCTGCGTTTCAGACAATGAGTGATGGTAAGCATCATGTCCTTGTGATGAATGAACGAGCGGCACTTTGTCCTGCTTGATTTCATACCAAATGATTGCACTACAAATTCTTAAACGGACAGCGGAATGCACACCACACCCACCTCGACGGAACTAAACGTCCGGTGAGTGACGCCGTTCCTGCCAGATGTGTTCAGTTTTGTTGCAGTCCGTTGCCGTTTATTGAGCAGATGCGGGACTACTGAGAATAACTTGTCGCGATTACAACATCAGGACGCAGGAATTCTGAGCTTTGACATTAGCAGCTATGACTCGCGGTTGGGGTCAGCCCAGACATTACCTAAGCGTTGGCTGACTCAGTAGCTGACACCACGACATGAGGTCAGAAATAACATCTGGTCACCTTACGCTGGTCCGTGGAAAATACGCTATTTCCGAGCGAACGCTCATCAGTTGCGCGGGCGGGGCATATTTGGCTGAGGACCAGAGCTGACTAAACCCGGTCCGTCGACGCGCCGGTGGGTGACCAGCCGCAGACTATACAAACATCCCACCTCCCGCCTCTCCGCGGGACTTCCCCGCCCGTGTTTTCGTTCAGCCTTCCCTTCCCCATGGCGTCTGGATCTTCTCGCGCGTGGACGCGACTCTGCACGCTCTGACCCCCGGGGCAGCCCGGTAAACAGTCGGTTGGCCGGGGGCCGCGCTGGCGCCGGCGCCGTCACCGCAGTCGCACGAGTCGTCCGCGCCGCGCTGGGCCTGTCGCCGCCGGCCTCCAGGATGTCAGCCCCGCTGCTGCTGCTGCTCGCGGCCGCCTGCCTGGCCGCACCGGCGGCGGCGTTCGTCCGCTCCAGCGCGCGCCGGGCGGTATCCGACGTGCTCACGGACAAGCTTTTCACCGTGAGCGACATGCTGACCACGCTTGAGGGCCACGTGAAGCAGCTGAACACGGCCAAGGTCGGCGTCGAGTCGCTGGAGGTGCGCCTGCAGACGCTGGAGGGCGTGGTGAACTCTGACCTGAGCTCGCTACGCGCCGACGTGGCCCGCCTGGCGGAGGCCGTGACGCAGATGGCCGCCGGACGGGCCGACGAGCACGAGCGCACGCGCGCCGCCTGTCAGGAGAGTGTCAGCAGCCTGACGCTACCGCTGACCAACCTGCAAACCAGCGCCGAGCGCACGCAGGAGCTGACGACGGCGGCGGAGCGGGCGCTGGGTGGACAGCTGGAGAGCGCCGGCGAGCAGCTGCGCGGCATCGCTGGCCAGCTGGAGGAGCAGCGCCGGGAGCTGCGCCAGCAGCTGATCACCACCACGCCCGCGCCCACGGCCGACCCCAGTGCCGTGTTTTTGTCCGGTCTGCTGAACAGTCTGAAGAAGCGCAGTAGGGAGTAGTGGGAATGGGCAGGAGTCGGCCCAGCGGCTACCGCGCAGCTAACTGCTGTTAGCTGTAACTGCTGCGAGGCGGTGCAGGCTGCAGCGCAATTTTTCTTGGACGGATGCCAGCTCCCGAACTGTTTGCGGTCGTCATGGGAGCCTGTCAGGCCGAGGATCTTAGCTGGTGGCAGAGAAATCTGTCGTGAATTTCAACCGTTTGAGCTAGCATGGTTGTTATTGGAGCCCGTGCTTGTGATGCACCATGTGAGACGGGCTGGGCTTCCACGCTGCTGGCTTTACTTATTATCCAAAACAGGTGTACAGCAGCAGGAGTCTGCACTGAATACCGGTCTATGGCTGGCGCCGGCTAGCTCGCCGACGACGGTAGGGTTTGCAGGGAATACGAACCAGGCGGTGGGAGCCGGAGCGCGGAAAGAGTTTGTGCGTGTGTGATTTACGTGTTTACTTTGTTTCCATAATAAAGCAATTAATTATCACAGCTGACGTCAGCTCCTACGGCCTAGGGGCAATCCTCAGCCATCCTGACGCTGAGAAAGGAGACCGTCCAATCGCCTACGCCAGCCGAAGTCTGAGTGATGATGAATTACGGTTACCCCGATAAAAAGGTTCTGGGGGTGATGTTCGGTGTTGGAAAATGTCACCAATACCTGTACGGAAGACAATTACTGATCAGGGCGGGACCACAAGCCTCTGCTTGGTCTGCTGGTTGCCGACGAGGCCACGCCTCTCGCAGCGTCACTCAGGACCCTGCGGTAGCGACCGTTGCCGGCTGGTTATCAGTACCAATTCCAGTGCGTCGCTGGCCAGTGCGTCGTCAACGCGGGCTGCCTTAGTCGTCTGCCTTTGCCAGTCTATCCCTCTAGTGTTCCGGTTCCTGGCGGCGTCGCAAATATGCTGGAAGACGTGTCCCACGCCGTGGATGTAGACCACATCCATGCCAGCAATAGCCGGGATCCAGTCCTCTCCCAGGTGCTCAGGCATCTGCAAAGAGGCTGACCACAGGTGCCTCCGACAGAAAAACAAGTGGTGCTGTACTGCCGCCGAAAGCCGAAGCTGAGCCTGCAGGATGGCTGTGTTCTGTGGGGCTGCCGAGTGGTGATCTCGCCGCCGCTCCGCGCTCAGCTCATCACGACCCTGTACGATGGCCATCCTGGTATGAACCAGATAAAATGTCTTGCGCGGTACCCGTCTGGTTGCCTGGACTGGACGCCATGGTCGAGGACTGCGTTCGAACATGTCACCAGTGCCAAATCCATTGTGGGATGAAGCCAGAAGAACTCGCGCAGCAATGGGTATTCCCTCAGCGACCATGGCGGAGAGCCCTTGTGCATTGCTTTGGCTGGTGGAAGGAAGGCAGCTACTCATTGTAGTTGATGCATATTCCAAGTCGTGCAACGTTCACATCTGCGCTTCAGCACCATCAGCTACAGCAATAGAGAGGTTGCGAATGAGCTTCAGCTCTTACGGCCTGCCGGTCATCCTGGTGTCTGATGTTGGCGCGGCCTTCACTTCGGCTGAGTTCCAGACCTTCGTCAGGGGGATCTGTATCCTGCACAAATTCAGTCGCCTTCTGCACCCCGCCTCGAATGGCCAGGCCGAGGCGCAGGCGGCCATAAAAGTGGTGAAGTCCAGAATCACCCAGCGGTCGGCAGGCAGCTTGCAAACGCGCCTCCCACGATTCCCGTTCAAGTACCGTAGCATGTCCCACTTGACTGCAGGCCGTACCTCGGCCGAACTCCTGCTTGGTCGCCCGATGCGGGGCACGACGGACCTGGTGCACCCAGACCTCGCCGCGAAGGTAGAGCGCCACTAGGAGACGTGGAAGGACCGCTCGGACCGGGGCGCCTGTGACTGACAGTTACGGGTGGGCGAGGTCACGTAGCAGCCACGTACACGTAGCAGCCATTCCCCAATTGGAGCAAAGGTGGGTGCCGGCGGTGGTGAGCTCGGTCGCGGGCCAAAGCTGTGAGGTTCGCCTGATGGGCGGCTGGGTGTTCAGACGCAATCGCTCTCGTCGCTACACCCCGCTCTGGCTGGATATCTGCGGTCCAGCTGGCGCAAAATCCCGCCACCCGCTGCCGCCCAGCAGCTGCCGCGAGTTTCGGGTTGGCCGCTCACCGAAGCGCCGTCTCCGCCGCTGTACGAGGCGCCGTCTCCGCCGCTGTAGGAGGCGCCGTCTCCGCCGCTGTACGAGGCGCCGTCTCCGCCGCTATAGGAGGCGCCGTCTCCACCGCTGTACGAGGCGCCGTCTCCGCCGCTGCAGGAGGCGCCGTCTCCGCCGCTGTAGGAGGCGCCGTCTCCGCCGCTATAGGAGGCGCCGTCTCCACCGCTGTAGGAGGCGCCGTCTCCGCCGCTGTACGAGGCGCCGTCTCCGCCGCTGTACGAGGCGCCGTCTCCGCCGCTGCAGGAGGCGCCGTCTCCGCCGCTGCAAGAGGCGCCGTCTCCGCCGCTGCAGGAGGCGCCGTCTCCGCCGCTGCAGGAGGCGCCGTCTCCGCCGCTGCAGGAGGCGCCGTCTCCGCTGTAGGAGGCGCCGTCTCCGCCGCTGCACGCGGCACCGTCCCCGCCTCAGGACACGGCGTCGTCTGTGCGGACAGAGCGTGGCGCTGTCCTCGCCTAGGAACGCGCTGCCCAGTGCGCCACCTCCGTTTCAGTCAGGCCCTGAGGAAGGAGAAGCTTTGAAGCAAGTAACCCCGCCCCCACGCTCCCGTAGGGCCCCGATGCGGCTGGCCCTATAGCTTCACTGAGCCCCATCGCTCGCGTAGGGCCCCGATGCGGCTGGCCCTATAGCTTCGCTGAGCCCCATCGCTCGCGTAGGGCCCCGATGCGCTTCTACTTATGATTTCGCCGCGATCGTTTTTTGTGTTTGTTTGACGTTGGTCTGGCGTTAAATGTTAGGCTTTGGAGTGACCTTGTGGCTCGGAGAGGAAAGGTGTTCGGTAGCAGGAGTCTGCACTGAATACCGTCCTACGGCTGGCGCTGGCCAGCTCGCCTGCGACGTTAGGGTTTGCAGGGAATACGAGCCGCGCAGAGTTAGCCAGGGAGCGGAGAGTGTGCGAGTGTGGTTCCTGCTGACTCTTTCTGTCTGCCGCGGAGGAATGTCTATCCCACAGAGAGTTGCCTTAAGCAACAGGAGTCATCCTGGTCCTTTCAGCCTTCTCCTCTCTCCCAATTGCCTTGCAGTTATGTTCCTTTGATGTTCTCGGCTGCTTCATTTCCCAAACATTGTCGTGTCTCAGGATCCCCTAATGCCATTGAAGCTCCAGGAGGGATAGCTAGCTGCTAGCTCTTGATCGCTTTCATTTCTTCACATGATGTAATGGGTTCCGTGATTGTCTGGGCGTCTCGGGGTTTCCTTTTGATGTTGATGGATTAGGGTCATTTCGGCACGCGCTGGCCATTTTAGATCCATGGGAAAGGAGAAAAGTAAATGCTCGGGCAATGCCGTGGCCGTCTGGGAAACCTCCGTTGCCAGTCTTGTCCCGAGCAGGGGGTCCCTTTGGGGTTTGTGCGGGAGCTCGATCAGGGCTCCACCGAGGTTGCGCTTAGCCTGTCTTATGGCTGCCGACCGCAGCATGCCTGAACGGGGTGTTTCCAGGATCCGCGTTAAAATGGTGAGCAAGGAAAGCATGGCATGGATGTTTCGCAACCGTTTTCACCCCCTCGAAAGCTTCGATAATGTCGTCCTCCCTTACTTCTCCGGAATCCTGCATTGGATCCGTCTAGATGGTTGAAGATCATCGTCATCTGTTGACTGTCTGGTTGTCTTCGGTTCGTAGCCCGTGGCACCGTCTCGTTTGCTAAAGCGTGCCAATGTGCATTACATTAAATGTGTGAGTTTAAGCCTTGACACAGGAGCCCGAAGCTGTTCGGGGGTGCGCCCGGGCTCCGGGAATTACGCCGTGGTATCAGCAGCGGCTGGAGTCAGTGTCGAACCGCTGCCAGCGTCACTGCGGCGGGCCTGCCCGACGGCCGGCAGGCGTAAACAGAGCCTGGCTAGCATAAACACCGCGCCAGTGGCCGCTCAGGTCCCAACGGTAGCCACGTGGCTCCGACAGCAGCCACTGTGGCTCTGACAGCAGCCACTATGGCTCCGACAGCAGCCACTGTGACTCTGGCAGCAGCCACTGTGGCTTCGACAGCGGTCACTGTGGCTCTGACGGCAGCCACTGTGCCTTTAGCAGCAGCCGCTGGGACTCCGACAGAAGCCACTAAATAATGAGCTGGCCTAAAAAAGCTACTGACGTATGTAATCACACGCTGTAGACTACTCAGGCTTATAAACAATTTCACTGGTTCTTAGTCGCGTCCAGGTCATTTGAGGTTGAGAGCATTCGAAAATGACCGAATACGGTCAAACATGCCGTGGGTCCACACTCCAGGCCACCCGAAGTCAACCTCAGTGCGAAAGAGAGCGTTTCACAGTCGCATGGGGTTCTTAACTGAGACAGTCACTTTAAGGATAATCTAGTGCAGGTTACCGCTCTTTCTTTTTTAAGACTTAAAAACCAGCATCAGCATCAGCCCGGCCGTTTGGCCGGTGACCTCATCCGCCGCCCTAACAGCTGGTGATCGTGCGTCACGTGACCTGTCGGGTCAGACGCGGCCGCATGACATGACATATGGAATCAGTGCAACATTCGCGCAATCCAATTTCCTCGGGGATGTACGGTTTACGGCATCTTTTGCATGCATGTGTGATATATGCGGTTCGCTCAGCTCTGTGGTCAAGTCCTAGACTCGTGTATGGGCTCCATCGATGAGTTGGAAACCTTACCCTAAATGGACTCAGAACGCAGTGGTTCTTGTGACGTATAAAGCATTCGCTAACGGGCACAGTAACTTGTATTGCTTGCAAATTGGCCGACTCTGCTCAGCCAGGCCTAGCGGTTTCAGTCAACGAAGTCGACAAATTTGTTACTATTTGCGGTTTTAGAGACAGCGAACAAAGCATTTTGCAAAACGAAATTAGGTGGACACTCGCCCCAATAAGCTAGAGACGACACGTCTGTACCTAAAAGTGTGAACGCCGGGAAACAAAAAACAACAACAGCGTGTGCACGCCTGCACGTCTGAAAACTATACGCCTGCGTGGTTTGCATATCGAAACCTTTGGTTGAGACCACTCACCAGCTAATTCGACACTGTTTCGGGAATAATTCGACATTGTTTCGGGAAAGGTGGCAACAGCCTACGGCCGATAACGGGCGCACAAATTTCTCCAACAATGTTGGGTAATAACTCCAAAAGCCGTAGAATTTCTGAAACATGAGCATTGGTTCAAGTTTTAGATCATGTTGACCTGATTATTTTTATTTGTTTTTTCGTGTGCCAACAACGGTCAAATGTCAAATAAACCAAGGTCGTGGGCTGCTTTCATGGGCTGTGCTTTTTCAACAACGTATTTAGTTTATGGCAGAAAATTAGAAATACGTGTGTACATAATACTGGACAATCTAGACATAATCGTCGATGGTTCTAACTGCACTGCCGAATTAATGGCCACCGGTCTTGAAACGGCAGGTGAATATGTCACGAGTGGAATTTGTGTCTTCGGGCTTCTGATGATGAGTTCTCATTGGAATCCAATACTACCCGAAACACAGCCCTGGTTGATACCATGGTTGTCACCAAGACCATAGAACAGACATAGAACACACTAGGTTGTCACCTAGTTTTCCGTACCCTATTAACTCCCGGCCGGGTTGGTGGCAGCGTAGCCAGGGAGTGAAGGAAATTCGCCCTCAAAGAAATTAAGCTGCCAAATTTTCCATAAATGCCTGCACTTAATGCTAGTCCAGTACTGGCGCGCATAGGACGTAATAATACGCGTTGTGCAAAAAAGCTATGACTGGGGGTAAACGAAGGGAACCGTGCGGTGCGGGGGGCAGTACAGGTGTGTTGTGTGTGTTGATTGTTCGAGTAATATTTGAGGCATTAATCACGGTTGTGTCCAGGCACAGCGGAAGGTGTGATCAAAGACAGACTGTGTGACTTTTTACAGAAAATATGTTGTGTCAGGCGAGGCGCAAGGCAGCGGGGGCCCTGCCCCTGCTCTCAATATCCTACACACACACATGTTTATATATATATATATATATATGTATATATATATATATATATATATATAATATAGGTAGGTAGGTATATACCAGAAAATCTTATTGTTGCTTTATGCTTGTTTTTAATCCTGGATTGCACATTTTGTAGATATTTTAAGCTAGTGTTTCACATGCTGGTAAATTATTTCCCTTGTATCATGAACATTACAAGTCCACAGATGGCCTTTGATAAGTTTTTGGTGGTAACTGGTTCTGTTGTGTGAAACATTGTAAAGATTATTCATTACCTTGGGTACAGTCCACAGATGAGTTATCTGATGGAGGTAACATCTGCAAACCAGTACACACTTCTTTGATATCATACTGTGGCAGCTTGGAAGTTTGCTGCAGTCTGTGACATGCAGCTGACATCAAATTTAGATCAAATTGTTGAGCCAGTTTAGCTTTTCATGAGATTTTGCTGTCATGGAAATCACTTTTGTGTTTTGGTTTTTGATATTCATTCAAGCAATTTTATGACATTTTAGGACAAAATTACCGGCCTGTCATAAGCAGATGGCTATGCACTAACTACTCATTTGTCCACATAGTTATTAATATGCATTAGTACTGGCAATAGTAATGGTACAGTTTATTAATTCCTGAAGACAGTGGTAGAATTTTGGAATGATTTTTGTGTCAAGGTATGATGGGATCATGTAGAATCATACCTTTTTCATCCTGTGCTGTGCATTTTATTTGAATTAGTAAATAGCATAGTTAAGTTTCATTGGATGGTGGATAGGTTCCTCTGTCATTCTCCACTCAAATCTGGCAACACAAGTTTTGAATAACTATACTTTTTTGGTGTTGAAAACTGCTTGAGGTGCCATTTAACAGTTGCTAGCTTCCTGACAGCATGACAACTAGGCTGGGCTGCTGGGTATCACCTTTAGTTTGCTTGACTTGTGGCATTAAATGGGATCACTAACCACCTTCTTAGAATTGTGTCTCCCTTCAATTATCTGCAGGCCGTTGTGGGGGACAAATATGTGCACCAAATGATGTGGGTGTGCAGAATGTTTTCTGAACTGGAGGGCTTTCAAAAGGCATGGAGAACCTATAGTACAGATATTTTTTCTGTCGCCAGAATGCTGGTGCAGATGATGCTCACGATGTTTCCCTCACAGCTGTCGTCATGACGGCCGCCAAGTGGCTCGTGCGTGGACTCCTGAGGGAGCTGCGTGCCTCCACAACCCGACCGGAGGCCTCAAACATGTACCGTGACTATGTCTTGGACACGGCCCGCAGATTTCAGGTAAGAAACCAGATGTTGCGTATTGTCTTTGCGAACTTACTCGTAATTGTATATCTTCTTTAGCCATGATGTACTGGTTTGGCAGCATGCTGTTACTTCCGCCCTTACTGTTTCTGATATTGGTCTCGTGGATTAGTTATTGCTGCGGAGATGACGTGGTTCTATCGAAACTATCTGCGCAGGTCGTCATCGGCTGCATGAGTGGAACCACGTCTGATACTGGTGGGGGAGGGACAGATCAGCATTGGGGGACGGAAATCTGGAGACGATATCCTGACGTCAGAATTATATTTTGAATGAGGAAACGTGAAAAAGTGTATGCTTCGGTGAAACTGGAGGGACGAAATGACGCCGTGAAAAAGTGAGCGTACGTGCCCCCAGCCCCACTCTTCCAGCCCCCTGTAGTTACAGTTACAGGTGTGACACTAGTCTTGCTTTTTGTGATCTGCTCTTCATGTGCTTCATTAAGATAGTGTTGCCTCGCTAAAAATACTTTGAATTCCCTCAATCTGAATAGCATCATCTGAGAGAAGATGCTATTCCTCTGGTTTTTAGCTGCATCAGACACTTCAAAGCGTATCTACGTGGGTGGTATCTAGAGGTAAAATATCTGGTATCTATTTGGGTGGGTAACCCAAATACTGGAAGCTTTTTTACCCTCGG